CTATATTTCACATGCAATGTTTTCTGTAGACATACAGACAGTTTGGAGAATGAGAGAGAGATAGTGAAGAGCTATTCACCCTTCGTCACTGGTCAGAATGACGGCTGTCACACACTCTTTACTGAGTACAAATAATAAATTGAGATCAAAACCATCAGATTCCACGTGTCTTTTGAACAAGACCTTCAGAAAAAGGGGTGAGACAAGGAACAGTGTGGTTTTGTCTCAAAAACCTCCAACCACAGTGCAAGAGTCCTGTTCTTTCAGTATACAACAGACAAATGAGATCTGTATCCCAGACTTCTGTCTCAAGTGTTTTCTACATTAGAAGATGACTGTACCACATTTGGCTTTCTATCTAATCTCAAGAACATTTGATTTGTAACATGATTGCCTTCCTTTTGGAAAATAACTGAGCCTCTTCTGAGCAGCTTCACTGAATCTGTAACTCTGTATTTGATTAAGGTTTGATGATGTCTGATACAAATTTAACCGCTAAGTATCTGCGCTGAGCAATGCTAACAGCCTTGCTATTTCAAAGAAAACAAAACCCAGAAAGTCAATCAAAAAAATCCTGGGCACAGAAACTTAAGGCATCTAAATGGAGAGGTAATAGATCACTTGAAGGCTTTGTAACAACTTCAGAATTTTTACTAGAAAACACAAGTTACAACAGATAGGAGAATCCCCTGCCACAGATTGTCATAGGCAGTCCAGACCACCAGCTCTCAGGCGTCTCACAGCACATAACTCAGATTCTGCCAAGTACATATTCTAGTACTTTACATTATGCAGAAAAATCCAAAGATATGAATCAGGTTTCAGCCATCACCTCCCAAACCCCAGCTGCACAATCCTCTCCATTTCTTGCACTAGCTCTGAAACTCTTGATTATGCAGCAAGCTGGTTCAATTTGCTAATTGAGAAGGAAGATTTTCACTTTTTCTTCTCAAGCCAGTTTCACAGAATGGTGCAGGTTGGAAGAGACCTCTGGAGATCATCTAGTCCAACCTCCCTACTAAAGCAGGTTCACCTGCAGCAGGTTGCACAGGATTGTGTCCAGGCGGGATTTGTATATCTCCAGGGAAGGAGACTCCACAACCTCCCTGGGCAGCCTGTTCCAGTGCTCTGTCACCCTCAGAGTAAAGAAGTTTTTCCTCATGTTCAGGCAGAACTTCCTGCGCTCCAGTTCATGCCCCTTATCCTGTCACGGGGTGTTGCCAAAAAGAGCCTGGCCCCGTCCTCTTGACACCCACCCTTTAGATATTTATAAGCGTTGATAAGATCTCCTTTCATGGTTTAACATGCTAAATCCCATGATTTAACATGCTAAACCATCTCAGCACAGACTGGACAACAAAGCTAGATGCAAGGTAGGAATGTGAATCATGAGGCTGGAAAAGGAGGAGGAGTACAAATTCCTCCTTTTCAGCAGCAGTAAACAAAGAGAAGACACTGAATAACAGGAACCTTGCTTAATTTTATCTTTAAGAATCAAATGCCCTAGAGAACCGCATTAGCACCATCCAGGTAACATCGTTGGTCCTGGGAAGAGAAAGGGCCCAGAATGTTCATCTGAACAGATTTAACCCTGACCTACTTGGCAGCAAGCACTCCAAAGTGCTCCAGGAGAACAGGTTCCCACCTGCTGATGACAAGACAGACATTTTAAGGTCTTATTACAGAGATTTTAAATACCAAAAGACAGACCAGCACGAGACAAGCAACTGTGGTCAGCGTTACAGGATTTCAGATTGTAGTATGTATCTTTGAGGCTATCATTATGGTTTTGAGTTCTCCACTGGATTCCTATCCCAGAAAAGCAGTCTCTTGTAAGCAGCTCTTTCACCAGCAGAAGTCAAGAGAAAAATGACACTTCAAAAGAAAAAGACAAAGTTACACTTGCAGATAGCACAGATGTAAACTGAAGGGGGTTAAACACAATCAAACCTATCACTTTAGAGCTCACTTTAAGAGCTCCTAAGGAGTATTATACTAAAAAAGACTGTGGGCAGATGCTTATAAATCTGATCTCTGCACTGACATCATACACTGCATAATCAACTGGTTTTGTATTTAGTTTTTGTTGATTAAATACAAAATAATTATCTGAACGAAACCCACACAGGTTTCTAAGAAGCCACTTCATGACAGCAATTACTTTGGAACTACAAAGTTACTGAAAATGCTCTTGCTTTGTAATTTAAAAACTCCTTGCTTTAAGTAGCTCCAGAGGGAATTTCTGAAGTTGAATCAACTGCTCAAACCCCCCAAAAACAACTTTAAAAAGTACTTAAAATCTGGAGGAAAAAAATATGGCAAGTGAACAGAATATCCTGCACTGCTATTATCAGCAAAATGAAATAAAAGCAGTGGCTAAGTATTTTCAAATTTGTGTTTCTGGATTCTACTTTAATACAGTAAAAGAAGTCTCACGATATTTCTGCCTTTCCAATTTTATTAAGGTATTTTAAAGCCTGACGGTTTGGAAAGTTCATAGAAGTCATGAAAACAACAGGCCAACAAGCACCTGGTAAATATATACCCAAATTCCAAGTGTCTCTTCCCACTCTGATGTGTAGCTGCAGCTAGAGTATGACTAAGGCTGCTTAATTCCCCTTACCCAGTTCAACACTAACTGTTCATGAGAGCAAATCCAAACTGGATGGAGTGACTTGGATTAAATGTACTGGTTCTAAAAGAAAGTTCATTCAAACCTATTTTTTTCAGAATGATCAGGATTTGTGAGTGTACAAGCACAACGCAACGCTGAATTGCTTTACCAGCAGAGGCAAAAGCTATACTGGCTTCCCCCCAGCAAAGCCAGAAATTCTACAGCTGACTATTGCCAAGCTTTTAGTATCAACAGGACATGTTCTAAGAAACAGGAGTGCCACAGGTGGCTTCTTCCCCCCCACCTCGTTTTTAAAACACTCACTTTAATAAATATTTACACATACAAAAAAAAAAATCTCTAAGAACAGGACTGGAAAGACTTATTATCAATTACATTTAAATCTTCCCTGACAGACATTTATTTAATCTGTTCTTTAAAATTTAATTACTGACATGGGAATTTTACGGTCTCCTTAGACCATACCTTTAAAAGCTGAGATGTGAACTATATTTTATCAGACTTTCAAATACAGTAATAACTAAAACATACACATCCAAAACAGTATTCACAACATATGATACATGAATTAATTTTTTTTTCCACAAAAATAGGGGTTTTAGGTATGAAGAAAGTGCCTTTTTCCAAAGCAGAAGCCATCATCTCTTGAATAAAAAACTGTACAAAACTGAAAGCAATTATTGATATGAGGCAGAAGTTTCATTTAAGAATCCTCACATATGCCAAGAAAGTAATAGACTCTCTTCCCACTACTGCAAGCACATAAGAATCCTGAATCTGAAACTCCCCATTATATATCTGAAGTATTGTCAAAGAGTAAAGAACCATAAGGAACTATTTGATCATCTATGACAAATGGATGCAATACTTTTTTTTTTTTTTAAAGACACTATTTCCTTCAGCTGATACCCTCTGGAGAAAAGAGGAAACACCTCACTATTATGCAAATTTCTCTCTTGATATCCATCATAGCTTTTTGGAATTACTGACAGTTTTGTCTCAAGGGTAGCTGAATGTACGGAACAGTGCTTCTGCACTCCACCATGAAAAGGTCCACACGTATTTCCATTCAAGGGTAGTAATCTATTTGCAAACAAGAATTTATTGTGTTATAGTATAAAGACACTAAACACAAAACAAGGTGTTTTAAGAACATGAACATTGACACAAAATAAAACCAAGATCATTTCAAGCCAATTCTGTTATCATTTCATGTGAGAAATTCCAAGTGAAAGTAAGTTACATACACAGGGTCACCCTAAAGAAAGGATGGTACCACCTTCATCTAATTCAAGCCCTGTTTCAGAACATCGTAGCATTGTCAGAATAGTTGCATTATTTTGAGGGCTCAAGTGGTATATAGGCTTTGTCTTGGCCCTCTCTATATAGGTGAGCTTACCCACAGATTTACAAGAGAACCAACGGAGGCATTTCTACTGTAAACTAAAAGACCTGAGGTACATTCTCTTCCAATCTACCTTGCAATTTTTTGATCTAAGTATATTGGGGGGCTGGGTATTAAAGAGCAGCATAAATTTGGTTATTTAACTTCACTGTAGTCCATGTAGGTCAATAAAACGTATAACGCTTTGCACTACGACGCCCATCTTCAACACAATACATACAGTATGTCATAAAGCTTCTCTGAAACCACGTACTGTAGTATGGCAAGCCACCATATGAAGAGATACATGAATTGGAGAAGATGTTCTTGAATCATTTCTTCAGAGACATTACCTTGCATCACAATAAGGCCTCTTTCCTGCGGACTATTTGATAGGATCCATTATGTGAACCATTCATAACAAATTTCTCAATGATGCATCAATCGTTTCAATCAATACAGAGCAGTTAACATGGACATACAGATAAAGTATCATATTACTGCTCTTTCATATGCACCATTTCCAAAAATAACCAGTTTGGTTAACTCAAAATAGTAAATTTTTGCTAAACAAAGTTAGGAGCAGAACTATTTAATTTGCTTAAAAGTGATTAATTTAGCTCTTAAAAGAAACTGAATTCAATGCTGTAAAGGCTCATTGTGAAAACATATACACACATCAAATTTATATCCAAAGCTAGATTTTACCATTGAGTTTTAAAAGGCCAAGAGATATTTTCAATACAGTAGAAAAAAACAGCAGTTCCTGAAGTATATTGTAGCCTCACCTCACTGGCAATATCCATAATTCAGCTGCTGTACAAAATACTTCTCTGAAGCAAATCCATCTGAACTCTATCCACCCTGAGTTAAGCATCGATACTTTTTAAAAATGTTTTAAACATAAGGTAACAGAGAAGTATGTACAAGGCTATAAAACTTGTCAGTTATCATACAGCAGTAAGAAAAAACTAATCAGTATTTTCAGCCAATTTTCTGTTTTGTTATTGTAGTTATTCATTTTGGGTTGGGTTTGGGTTTTTTGGCTTTTTTTTTTTAAATCAAGTAGTTACTTGATTTAGACATTCATGCATTAATTGCTTGAATATTTTGTTTTGAGTGCAACAATAAGGCAACAGTAAAAAAAAGTTATAGAAATTTTGCATATGTGTAAAGGTATTAAGTTTATAAAAGTGCTTCCTAAAAAGACAACCTAATTGCCGTATCAAAATATTACAGAGTGGTGAGAACAACTATCATTTCAATAAATCTTGCTCCATAGAAAAACGTCAATCTTATTTTAGGCTTTTCCCCCTTTTTTGGTGAAGTAAAAGCCTGGGGAAAAAAAAACAGGTATGGCTACGTGGGACAAGCAAGTTAAGAAAATATACTTTAGTCTAAACTTAAATAAGAAGGTCCACACTTTTTTGTCAAAACATTAAGCCTCTGTCAAAAATGTATTTTTTTTTTCTTTTTATAGTACAGGATTAAAAGACAAGATGATGCTTACAAGATAAAGAAATAATTTACATGAAAATATCTTCTGACAAAGCTTTTCAATCAAAATATTGTTTTGTAACATTCAAACATGACATACAACAACAAAAGAAACAGTGAATGCAAACAAAAAATGTTATATGGATTGCTTTCAAACACATAAATAAATGAAATATTGGTGTAGGCAGCAGGGCTCATGCTGATGGCTAGCAGGAAATAACAGTGTGCAATCTATTTGGAAAAAGCTCTAAAGTACAAGTTACAAGCCCAATTACGGACTGCAGACAGTTCAGTTATATCACTGCCATCCTCTTCTGTCTCCAAAATAAATTCTCGATTAAATCACTCATACCCTAATTTACTCATACCTTTGCTTCAGAGATATGAATAACTATATACAAAAAGTAGTTTTATTTCACCATAGGGATAACATTGTACCTCTCTGCCAATGTCACTTGAAAAACCTTCCATGTCAAAACTGTTTGACAGCAGATAAACAATTTAATAAATACGCAATGATCTTATTACAGTCCTTCAGCTAAGCATGTCAACTCATGCTGCTAGTTTTGTGATCACAGTGCATAGAATCCAAATATAAAAGAATGGGGTGGCTTTTAAGGTAATGGTAGATCCCTTGCTTATAATCCAGATATATCCGAAACTTTCATAAGCTCTGTCATGCGTCAATTGTTTTTGTGGCAGGAGCAAAACCTTTCCCTGGTACAACGTCCATTGCCGGCAATGGATGCACCAAAACCGCCAAGGAGCTCAGTGTTATTGCACAATATATGAAGACCTGGAATTCTTCCAAAAGCTTAAAATAAAAATATGGAATTATTCTGACGTTTCTGGACACCTGCATTAATACTGTATGACTAATAAAAGCATGTCAGTTGCATGGACTGAACCAGCGATCAACATGCGCCCAGAATGCACACTAGTAAAAATGCAGTCACAGGAAGTAGTCTTCATTGCCTATAGGTCACTTCCAGTCAAAGGTTAAAGTTCAAAGACTGAATGATCAAAGTGCTCATTTTCTCAGTAGGACTATCTTCTGCTACGAGGATCACAAAATGGTGGCATCAACATGTGTCATCTTTAAAATAAAAGAAGAGCATTTATGGAAAACATATAAACATTCTATGTCCAAATCAGCTGTACGCAGAAACAATTCCTGGCATAGACAGTAGCATGCGGGGGAAATACACCCACGGAATAACTGCAGGTTTGTTCAATACTGACTCAAGAAACAAAGAAGAGAATATCACACACAAAACTTCTAAAATGCACATACACCCCCAAGCATGTCAGTATTAGCAAATATTCCATTAAAAGGACAGCAGTTTCCACACCAGTTATCAAATTGAGAAATCCTTTTATAAGGAATATATATATAAAATCCTTTTATAAGGAATATATAGTGATAACAGCTGGCAGAGTGGGCTTCTCCTGATGCATTCTCAACCATTTGTTTATACATGTATATATATAAAATCATATATATATGTATGTATATTCATTTATTTCTCAAGAATCAACACAAACTATAGCTGACAATTACGCAAACAGAATAGTTACTACTATAATCCTACATTCACTAAATTCTAGATACTGTGATTGGACAGAACATATGAAAAAAGTGTATTCTACGCCAATCTTTTCTGCATTATGCTCAGTATTAAAGTAAGTATTTGTCTGCGAAAGCTCTCTCAAACTTTCTCTTCCACACATTAACCTATAGTACATTTGCATCTGGCAACAGTAAGTATTAAGCTTGTTAACAGAAAGCAACCTTACTGTCTGGTTATTTTTAATGCACTTACTTATTAACCTCACACACCCAGAAAATGTAGCCTCATAAACAGCATTTTTACTGTTTACAGATTTAGTATGCATAAAGTACCAGCAAACAACTCTACATTCTCACTGGAAAATATTATGTCATCAATACTATTACATGTAAAAAAAAGTCTTAATTTTGATAATAGTGTACTGTATATGTAAAAAAGATTGGACAAGAATTCAAGAGAGATAGAAGGGGTATTTAAACTGTGTACTAAAAGTTTCGGCCACATACCAGAGAAAACACTTTCTACTAGAACAAAGACCACTCACCCAAAAAAACCCAAACCAAAACAAATACCACCACCCACCATAAACCGAAAAGCAGGAAGGAGGTGCTGGTTGAAAACAAAGCCCATTGCCCTCTTTCTCCACAAAAATCTACCTCCTGATAACACCAAAACCGGCAACAACTTTATGAAACCAACTTCAGCCTGGATGCCCAAGAAAACTGTATCTGGAAGTTCCTGCTCTGTCTTTCAACAAAACACGATCAACTCTCAGATTGGAATTCAACATGAAATTTAATGTATGATTGAAGCAGACATTGAGTAGGGCAGACAGTCTAAAAATACCAAAGATGGGGAGTTTTCAAACAGGGCTTGCAAGGACATCAGTTTGTAGCAAACAAGTCCCTAACTCTGCTTATAGAATAAGTTGCTTTGTCGGGGCAGGGATGAGATGAGATAAAAAACTCTGTAATAAGCTAAATGCACAAAGACACATGTTTACACGTCAGAATATATCTCAAAATGCTCCTTTAGCCCTCTGTGTTCACATCAGTTTGCTTTACATCAGCTCCCAACCATGCACTATTTGCTGCCAGCTAAATAAATTCCAGGCACCTACTGGAAAAAGAAAAAAATTCCTCCAAATGCATATACTAAGAGTGATGAGAGTCTTCCTCCTTTCTCTTCAAAACACAGGGACTGTATTTCACATCAAAGCTAATCCAGTGCAACGGCTAGCTGACAACAGAAGGGGCAGAACAACTCTGCATCTCCCTCCAACATGTTCTTGTATTAGCACTGGCATTTATTTCACCCAGTGGTTACCCTCGGACAGCTGGTTTTCTTTCTTGGTTGGGATTGGTTTTTCTCCCCTAATTCACCCAGCCCAAAGTGGTTCAACCACAAGACTAGATCTGTGACTATGACACTTGAGTTGAAGCAGGAGCAGAAAATGAAGATGACAGAATCACTTTTTCCAAGGGTTTGCAAATCTTTTCAGGGGTACATAATGTGGAAGACAGTTCTTTTCCAGACAGAGGTGGTTAACATCAGCAGGCAAGCTACACTTCCCATTTTAGTGTAACTCACCACTTCTTCAAACGCATTAAGTAAACACTGAAAATTTAAAGATCATGCCTTGGCAGGCTTGTTTCATGTCCACAGAAGAGGAACAAAATTACTTGTAACTAAGAGAAGGAGAAAGTGACACATAAAACTTGAAGGAAAAACCCTTTAGCATTTAAGAAAATTTTTGTCAAATGGACATCAGGCATGTTTTATTTTTTAATGTAAGGATTTAAGGGGTGGGAGAAACCCAATGAACTTTTAATCATGATCTCCTTAAAAAAAAACCCAAATGAAAATATTACAAAGCAAAACAGTATGAGTTATTTAAATGAACTGACTTGTTTTCTCTTGCCTCAGGTTGGTTTTCAGGTTGCTCTACATTTGGGCAGGGGTAGGCTTTTCTGACTTCCAGAAAACAGCCATTGCACGGTTACTTCAAAGCAATTAAATGGCTTGTTCAGTGGACTATAAGCAGCTTGACGGTTTTTCAGCCACAATTATATAGCAACTTTCAGAGTCAGATAACCTATATTTCTTTTCGTACTCATTTGTTTTGCTTGTTTAACTCAAATTGAATTTCATGAATAAGAAATCAAAGTAGTATCTGCAGACTGTTCTCCTTGATAGACCTCAGTCCTGAATCAAAACGAGACTAGTACAAATATTCAAAGTAGACAGAACATATTTTAATCACAAGATAAAGCCAACAAATGAAACTTCACTTGTTTATCTTTAAAAATAACTAGCACGTGAAAATAAAAATAGTTGACAAAAGCTCTCCCAAAATTGCCAGTAAAGAGAAAGCAAAACTAGAAATGGAAAAGCACCAAACACATTACAAGAGTGCAAAAACAGAAAGAGAAAAAAGTGACTACTGAATAATCTGGTGAAGACAAAAAACCCAGCCTGGCGGCCAACAGGATTATTATTCTTGGAGTCCATGTTAAAAACAACATAATGTATAAACACATGATAAACGGTCCCATGAGATACAGCACTCCTCTTACTGTAACTGAAGTTACCTTGTTTTAGAGGTACTATAGGAGTATTATGAGAAATGGACTTTCATTCTGCTATGTTACCATAAAACCCATGGGTCTCAGGAAGTATTATGAAACTCAGGCTTTTCTTGTTAAGGAATCTACAGGCTTTTAAGAATCTAAGGGTGAAGGCTCTGGCATTTGCCTCTCCAGTCTCAAAGTACCTGGTCTCATTTCATGTACGAGGCAGAACATGTTGTGCGGTTGGGAGGCAGTGAAAAACAGAGGATGTCTTACAATGGAGCCTTCAGTGAAAGGTAGCGATGGGATCAACTCCTCCTGCACCACCCTAACATACAGTATCATCTACTCTAACACATCCCTTCCCAAAATACATGGGCTTCTGATAGCCACCATTTCCACAGTATTTTCCTAGGGAAAGCAAAAAAGTATTGGCCAACAAGAGAGCAGAGGAGAAAAGCACAGCCTGTCTCTACCCTCTACTTCTTTCTTTCCTCACCAATGGAGAGGACAAGACAAGCACATACAGCCAACCCCAGCTCTGGGAAGAGGACGGCAAATGTTGAGGCAGAAGAAAGAAACACCACATTATAAAGCCAGACAGAGAGCATATGGAAAGAAAGAAAGAAAACAAACCACATCACACAAAAACCAAACAAACTAAAACAACACAACACCAGCACTGCAGACACTGGAGTACTACACATAGCAATTTTAGTATGGTGTTGGTTTTTTTATCAGGTACATGTAGAATCTTATTACTATATTATTGACTATTAGTTCTTAAGAGCCTTTAAGTCAGCCAACTGTCCCACATTGGAAATCTATTAAAACACGTAGCTGTTTACAAACATATAGGCACCTTTTAATCACTGTAAAAGCTCTTAAAGTGTTACTAACAACACAAAAACCCCTGGTTTTAGAGCTAAACCTAGTTTCATTATGGACGTTCCCCAACCCCAAACTTCAGACTTGCCATGGACTAAAGGTTTACAATAACTTCCATTCAAATTCAATCCTACATTTTAAACCACACAAATCTGTGCTGCTTAAATTTCCATCAGGAAAATGTGATCTAGAAAAAAATCACAGCAGAGTATGTCAGAAACACGATTTTAATAACTTTTGTAAATTAGAAAAGAAGATTTTAAGGCTTTGAATGCATTTATCCTGCTTTCCTACATTTTAATTGCCTGCAGCCTGAAAAACTTCAGAACTCCTGGTCCTAGTAAAATACTTACCGTGATACCACCATTTTGTTTTCTTTGGATTCTTGTTACATGTTCTGACATAAAATGAGTTATCTGGAGGTCGCCTCTGCAACAGAAGAAAAGACCTACAAATAATCAAACAATCCTCACGATGGTAATACATGAGCTATGTAATTAGCTTATGAAAGGCTACCACATGAAGGTAGTGAAAATGAGGTAACAGGCAGGGCTAGACCTTTGTCAAGAAAAATCTTTTCAGGATCCAGGTAGCAATTCTTACTGGAGATACTCCAAGCAAAAAATTAACAAAAAATACCAAACGGCTTGGAGATAGATAAGGGGAGAAACAAATTTTTTTTTTTTTTTTAAAAAAAAAAAAAGATAGAAAACAACCCACAAGAAACAAAGAGCTGTTGTTCAAAAAACCCCAAAGGAAATACCTTTGCAGTTTGGAATCTAATTCTGATATATTAGATCCAATTCACATCTGTAAGTCCCAGCTTGGAACGGGTGAAATAATAAACTTAAATATCCATATCTTCATATTCTTCAGTTTTCTTCCTAAGTGACATCATCATGCAAACCCCAAGTGACGGGGCACAATACAAAGCCATATTGGGGGCGTTTTCCTACCACATACACGTGACTAGAACTGATTGGGATGTCACAAAAATAGTCATGTCTGAATAGCACGGATGCACAAGCTCTGACCACATCTAACTTCCACGGGTGTTCCACTGCGAACAAAATGGTCAAGAGTAAAAGTGTAGTTTCGTTACAAAAAAGGTCTAAGCTATCAGTGCCACTCATCGATGACCAAAAAAGCAGCTTAGCACCATTCACTCTCCTGAAATGAAAATGATCAAGATCACTGAAACAGTACAGCTGTTACATACAAACCAGCCATACAAACATCTGCACTAAAGACATTTCAACAGTCACTCTGCACTGCCTTTAGAGACAGAATCAATTTACAAAGAATTGTCCTAAAACATGACTGAACTTCACAATTAGTACAACTAGAAGGACTCCATTAACTCCCCTTTTCCAACAATGACATACACGGTCACTGTGAAAAGTGACCCAGTACTTACTGCACTGTTTATTTTGCAGTTCTAGCTTGTATTTTTTCAGTAGTAGAAAAGTAGATACAGTAATTTTGCCTATTTTAGAATTTGAGAAATTAAAAGTTGACTTTGCAAAGTAGAAAACTATTAACTTTTACTTATTCTACTCCAACAGTGCTAAAAAAGCCCATACCTTTTCTTTGCAGCTGGAGAGCATGCTAATAATGCTAAGACAAACAGATTGCACAGAGAGAGCTGGAGACCAGTCTTCTGTTAGGATGGATAAACAGATATGACCATTGCTATAAACATGAGGATGAACAGGAATATTGTCTCCAGTAAACATGACCTTAAAAAAAAAAAAAAGAACAAACAATTGTAATTTATTATCCACATTCTAAATAAGCCTACTGCTTTTGGGAAAACAATAATATTTTATTTAAGTAGATCTGCCATTTTCACTTACACTAAATAATACACTTTAGCATGTCAAATCCATTCATTTTTGGAAGTTATTAATTGAAATGTAAAATAAAACAATGGAAGCCTAAATAGCTAGTGAAGATGGAAGTTAAATAAATGGTTACATGTAGGGGGTTTTTATCTATGAATACTTATACAGCACAGAAAAACGCAAAGGTAACAATGTAAAGACATCAAACTAAACCTTTTGTATCTTTTAGCCTCGGTTTTTCATGTCTTAAGGAATACAGTTGCCTAGCTAAACACTGGATTTTAATGATTTCATAAGCCACAGTGTTATACACCAGGAAACATGATGAGATTCACAAATGAGTATTTCTGTAACCCTGGTCAAAACAGAAATTAAGTTCTGGACAACTCACCCAGGTTCCAGCATAAAGAGTAAAATGCATTGAGCCTATTAACTATAAAATAAAGTACTTGTACAACCGAAGTATGTTACCATATAGGAATATTTTTAGATCGTTATTTCAAATGGAATATGGTTTTACTTGATATGGACAAATAGGGAAGAACAGCATTTAGAACCTTAACTCCTGTCTATTAAAAGATAGTATCACAGTCAAAAAAAAAAGGTTAGAAAAGCAATTTTGAGAACTATTGCTCTTACATCAAGTTTTTGTCAAACACATAGTCGGCTCAGGAGCAACAGAAATGGAGTAAAAGTGAAACCTCTGTAGCGGCATTATCCTCCTGAGCTTCTTATCCAACATAACCATTGTCATCTTTTATGCAATGACATAATAAATCTCTACCGCTCATAACCATAATACCCAGAAGCCTCTTAAGTGTTTCCTAAGTTGTATAGATCCACGTATGTGCACAAATATGTATACACGTACACCTTCATCATACCGGAAACTGATTAGAGAGCTTAACCTATTTGCCAAATGGCAGACAGGCTTCTAAGGCAGCAGAAAAACTGGATTTAGAACGATGTTTCACAGGTGTTTAAATTGCTGTTTCTTAAGCATTGTAGAGCTTACCTTCATAATCCAGTAATGTATTTGACTTCTAACTAATGTCTTCCTTTTATAGGAAAAGCAGAACTAGGCATACTAGGTAAGTAAAAGCATGCACTCTATGATAGACAACATACATTTAAAGGCAGAAAACAACCAATTGATTAAGCAGCAGTAGCAGATTTGCAGGGGAAAGAATTGAGCCAGAGGTTCGTAACACAGAATGAACTTACTGCACAGCAGCACTTTTATAACAGAAATTGTAGCCATCTACAACAATCAAGTACCCAGTACTTATATTCTTAATGTTTTCTTACTAAAAGTCAGTGTACAAGTATGGATCTAATTTGCTGTTTTACAATAAACTGCACAGAGCCACACACACAGGTTGGGCTACAAATAGTACCCACTTGGAACAAAATGAAAGTGTTTACTCTCTTGTGGATCACCTATGGTTCACTGCAAACCCAATGGGGTGCAGAAGTACAGATGGCCAGTTTGTTCCATAAAACCTAAGACAGAAAAGTCAGCACTCTAGTTTTTATCATGGTACCTAAAAATATGTAATATTTAGGGTTTGAGTGTCCCTTTCAGCTCTGTGCTTCAGTTTCAACACCAATGAGAAAAGTGTCAGAGATCACTCTTGGAACTTTGAGCTGAGACAGAGTAAGAACGAAGGCACTCTTGCTTTCCTTTTTACTTTTTCAGAAAAGCAGGGGCAATAGCTGAACTCTACTCTTACTAGCCACGCTTTGAAACATTTTCCTCAGGTAGTGCAGGGATGGATGTACAGAGCTCATTCTGCAGCCTAGTACTATTGCTGCCCCTTCAGTTCTTTGCATTGCCATGAAAGCAACACAGTACCTCACACCACCAGATTTGCAGGCCTCTCAAAGATGTCATGTATCTATGAGAGTCCCTACCATGAGCACAGAATTTCTCCAGCTGTATTAACTATGGCAGCAGAGAAGATGCAAGAGGCTTAAAAATAAACTAGAAAAGAAGTTGGAAGCAAAAAGAGGGGACAAAGCAGCAGTTGTTGTTTACTTCTACACCGCAGTAAAGAGGATCTTCCTACTTACCCTGTGTTGCTCTTTCATATATGAATATCAACCTCAAAGAAGCCTCCAGTTTACACTGCTCTTTCATCTCCTGAAAGCAACTAGACTGCCACAGCACTATACCTCACTGCAGAATAATTTTTAAAAGAAAAGGCATCTGTACAGTGTGTTTAATGCAAATTAAAGTAACAAAACCTCGCATTAGGATACGTGGATGATACTAATATTCAGCATTTGTGATGCAGCTATAACCTGAAGGTAGCGTTAAGTAATAAGGAAGCAAGCAGTTACCTGAGGCGAATCAAAAGGATACCGACTACTGAACTTAAATAGAAGCTGAAATTTCTCCCCTTCATATAGTGTTCCTGGAGCACCTTCCATGTCTACAATCCATCTAAGGAACGGGGGGAAAAAAATTGTTAGTATAGTGGAATGACAAATTATAATTTTACTCCTGGAGCACAGGACTAATCAAATCAATTACCAACCCCAATCACAGCCAAATCTTCTAAACTCTCCATTAGTACCACAACAGTCACAAAGGTGAGTAACACATCAAGCCTAGATTTGAAAGAAACAAGCCTGGTATTTTACAGAGAGGCACTGACATAATGCTGCAAATTACACAAATAATCATGACTTGGACTCAACACAGACCCATCAGTTCCCAGCACAATGACTGTTAATGTGAGACAACAAAGCTGAAACAACAAAGCTGAAACAAAATACCTGTTCCAAAGTTTATTTCTACACAAAAACAGGCTTGGGAGGAAATAAACTAGTACATTCACATTGTTTTAATTTTCTATCAATTAAATCATCCATGCAGTTTATTAAAATAAAATCTGTATCCAAGGGGGAAGGGCAATGCTCCTCTTGCACTCACATCTGTGAAAAACTCAGAAATCAAATGGTATATAAACTGGCACGTAATTGAAGCAAAACTGGAAAAGTTAACAGTATAAAAAGGCAAAGGTCACAGAAAATGAAAAACAAAACCAAAAAAGGAATGATCTGCAACTGTAACGAAGGTAACACCTCAACACGTCACAGTATTCTTCTTCCTCTGCTTCTGCTCCTTCCATCATAACAATATGGAAGTAATTCACAGCTGGAGCTGGTGGGGGAGGGGGTTTAGCTGTTGGCGTTTTTTTTAATCGAGTCAAAAATTGATGCTTTGCATATTGTTTGACACATACAGCAACACTCTGCTATCAGATTCTGTCATTTTGGAGTTCTATCATCAATCACTTAATACCACCCTTTGTAGCATCACTTCCCCATTTTTGTGTTTCGCCCTTGATTTCTATACAGTCGAGCACCACGATAAGGTAAAGATTCAGCAAGAAACTACAAAAATGCTCAGGTAAGGCATCAGGCTCATGTTAGGCAGCTGAGATTTTTTTCAGAACAGCAACGTGCCCAGAAAAGTTGACATCTCCTCCAGCTGGCAATCCTGATGATCCTGTTCCCAACCTCTCCATCCTCCTGTCACATGTACTCTCCCCGTGTGTTTAAGCTACGAAGATTTTTTGTCTTCCCCTCTATTTTTTTTTTTCTTTTTTTTTAAGAAAAATTGCTTCTCTACTGAACTGCCAGCTGTCACACTCTTCAGGAGGAATGCATCTTCAACAGCAGCATGACAATGGCTGTACTAGTGTTCCTTATTTTCATTCTGTGAAGATTCCTTCAATTTAATCTATCTGCACTCCAGACCACTTCTCTTTTCTGCCTTCTGCTTTTACATTTATGCACACAGTGCGCCAATGTTGTTCAGCTTTATTGGTCCTTGTGATGCAGAGCCTCCACTTTCAAGTTTTTAAAATAGTTTCATTTACTAAATAGAAGATAACTCTGCCTGGATGTTGCTCCTTTTATGGTCAAGGAATCACCAGAACCCATCTTTCTTGTGTGCTTTACATTTAGCCATCCCCAGTTTCTAATCCTTGTGTATTTAAAATAGATGATTGCTTAACATTCCAAGTGACCCAGTTACGCCATGGGATCCAATTATTTTATTCAACATCGTTCAAATCCAAGCTAGTATTCCTACACATCTTTGCTGCACCAGTTCAAATTGCAACTTCATTAACGAACTCAGAACATGTTACTTGGCACCAAAAACCCTCAAAGAGAAAAAATAAGACGTTACTTGTGACATGAAGCTTCATAAACAGTGACAACTCCAAAATCTAGTACGACAGTAAACAGGAAGTTTTGATTAGCAAGGTACTGAATGGTATAAAAATTGTACATAGCAGAAAAAAATAACAAGGTAGTACTCTGGGAACAGAGACATCCTAAGAAAAAAGGAAATCCACAAACAGAAGAAACACCTACAGATTTTTTTCCTTTTCCATCTCTTAACTGCTGTAAACTTTCACTGAATAGTAGTTTTTTTGTTTAAATGAGTGAAAACCACTTCCAATATTAGACCGAGCCCTATTTTTAGAAATTTTAAGTATTTTGCTTCCCAAAGAAAATCCAAAGTAAAGCAAGAAACACAAGCTGTAATTCAGCAATTGCACAGAAGTTTTATATTATTTGTACCAAATTCTGGGAAGTGATATTTCAATTTCTTTTAGTTGTATTCATCTTCATGAGTATCACAAAAACCAGAATCACTTAAAAAGCAATAGCGGTGTTTAACTTGGTACATACAAGACCCAGAAAAGCCTCCTGTAACATGGTCTGAGTGCCACCGCCAAAAATGCAGATGTGAGGCAACATCAGAAGTCAGCTCTATGTTATGTTTTTAAACCGATCCATCAATCAATAATGGTCCCAAACATACAGACCCAGGTTCATACTCTCAGAAACATTTACATCTCATAAGAATTTAACACTTCTCTAAAATTAAACTAAGAAAACTGCCTAAAAAAAATTCACAGTCTACATCTTTTGAATTTCAGTCAATTAAAAAAATAGTTTAAATTAATACCAGCAACAATCCCTGTCCATTCCAAAGAACAGAACACTGAATATTTAACCATGTTTCTCTCTCCGCGTCGCTAATCATAGAAAAAACTACAGCAGGGAGGAAAGTGCAAACAAACGTACTTAGATAACTTTGACTTTAAGAAGTTTCCTCTGCTTGCTTTAGAGAAAGAAGGTAATGGAAATTAACAGCTACAAAATATATTCCACACAAATAATGCGGAAACTCTAAATGAGCTACTCCAATAAATCTAGAGGGGTTTCAGAGGTTAGTACCTATGAAAGACTTAAATTATTTTATTCCAAAATATGCAGAAGCTTTTACCAATTGACATTCCGTTAGACAGTAAAATGCCTAATAAAAATTTAATGAATTCACTATCCAGTTCCTGAGAACATCCAGCATATTACTGCAATATGCTCGTTAAGCAGAACAATGTTTCGCTCCCTAGACTAGAAACAAAAATTCAGAACATCACTTGGAATAAGTGGTAGAAGTGGCATGCAGAGAACTTCTCATTACTTACACTTTTCAGCTTGATAGCAAAAATAAAACAGTATATATACTTACTGTGTAATTGAATTTTGTACACTCTTTTCATTTAGAGTCATTCCTGGAGGTGGATCGTTTTGCAATGCCAATAGTTCTTTTTGTAATCGTTTCTATAAAGAAATTGTATAGAATATTTGAAATATTAAATCAAGTTCAACAATAAACAAGCATATTAAAGTATATTTCATCAATTACTGAAAGGTAAAAGGAGTTGTATTTGAAAATTTAAATACAATGTGAAATTGAAAGGTGAGAAAGAGGGAAGACTCCTCTCCTAGAAATTAAAGGGGAAAGTCACAGGCCTTAAACTTACATTTTTGGTAAAATACAACAGCACTTACATTTGCAGCGCTGCTAAGCGAAGAACAGTTGTATCCAGGATTTTGCCATATTACAAAAATCAGAGCTCTTCACCTACCAGCGGACAGTTCATATTCCCCTGATAGCATCAGATTTACAATTAATTCTTCAAGGTTTTAACAGCACAACTCTTCCTCTTCTAGGTAATTTAAGACACTTCTATCTGGCATCTGTGCAAGCCTTTTTCTTGTTCTAAGCCAATCCAGAGAACTGAACACAAAACTAAATCAAGACTGTGTGACTTGCAGAACACAAACTATTTCACAGTTACAAAAGTAACTGCATATATAATACGTACAGTAACTGCACCCAAGAACTACAGTGTCGTGGTATTCAGAAAAGCGTTACACCAGCAGCTCAGATAATTCTTACCTATATTGACAGGGACAAATCAGTATCTGCAAACAGCTTCTAATGTAACAACTACCAGAACTGTTTCTTACAAGCTACAAAGCAAGAGAAACGCAACCTCTGTGAAGTGCTACCATTGGCACTGCTTTCAGATGGTATTTTTCTCCAAATAAACAGTTATGCAATACGTTTTGTCATTTCCAAGCCATCTAGTCAATGGGAAGTTCAAGGCTTTCTCATTTCTTACTCTCTTTCCTGCCAACAATTTTAAGGTTTACTGCCTACCAGTCCGCTTCCCTCATCCTATTAGTCAAAATGACCTTACATCAAGAATAAACAAAAATACCATTTGGGGGTTTAGTATCTAATTTTGCTTCAACATATAATTTTTTAAAACGTAGGTTTATCACGCGCTTGTAGCTGTCTCTTACTAATTTTCCAAACCACTTTTCTGGTGCTTAGTAGAACTTAAGAAAATCCACAGGGGAAAGTAAGAGTGTTCATTTGTCAACATAGAAGTGGTTCAGTATCTCACTAAAATCTCCGAAATAGTATTACAATAAATTCAGACACGCAACTCCTAAAGAAAAGGCCCTTACACATTCACAACTTACAGTCTGAAATAACTTTCTGTCTTTGCCAAGCAGCCCTGAAAACTTGCTATGGGCTTCTATTTTGAAAGTTCCTACCTTGAACCCAGACACACACTTTAAACATCTTTTATTTACATGCAGTTAAACAAATATGTTTTGAAGTGAAATGTTACGTCATAAAAGAATTTTAAAGGTTGTTATAATTGGTGTACAGATATAAACAAACTGAAAAAAACCCAATGCTAGCATTTTCATAAGCAAGCTATACACATTGCTACCACAGTGAAAAAACAGATCAGATTCCTTGTGTTCATCCGTTGCTTTCTGCACAGTTTAGGAAAATTTCAGATTATAAACACCAACAGTGTTTAACACCACTATTACAAACTAAATTGCAAAAGAAGAAAAGTTCTAAAACCTTCTGGTTTAGGATTTTAGAAATTTTTAACTTGAGTGGTAGAGATGTTTTGAAGTCAATTCTCTTTCTGACACTTTCCAAGACCACCATCAAATAAACCTCAGTGGTAGCCAACCTCTGTACACCCTGTCATACTGATCATCATCGAGAGAAATATTCAAAAAGTTCAGAGATGAGAACCCTATACGATAAGGGAAAGC